TCAACTACACCGGAATATCGTAGTCCTCAGAACAAGAACTGGTTCATCTACAGAACTTCTTTACCAATCAGCCTCCAGTCAGAAGGCATCTGAAATTTGGCCTAGGTCATGTTCTGAAAACATCCTAAAAGAGGAAAGAGAATCATCTCTTGCCCCTTTAGCAGAGTGCCTCTTTTTAAATGGCCCTCCAGCGGTGGGTTGGTAGGCAAGGTGTCTTTGGTGCAGGAGCCCTGGCACCCAGGACTGGGTGGTCTCTGTGGTGGGAGGTGCTCACTCCCTCTACCTCTGCTGCAGCCAGTTCCTGCAGCTGGACTAAGGGCGGCCCCCAGACTGCACTGGCACATTTCTTCATTTCTCACTTGAGTGCCCTTCTTTAGTTCCCTTTCAACTGCCCACTTTATATCGGCTTCATTACACCACCGCTCCATTTGTAATGTAAATTGGGAAACTCGGGGAAGTTTTTCTTTTGGCCTTGTCTACGGAAGAATACCGAGAGGTATTCAAAACGTATTAACACAAATCAATGGCACCAATAAAAGCAAAATCTCCTTAGCAACATAATCTTGATTGCAAAAGGAGAACTGAGAGCATTTAGCAGAACAGTGGCCCACATGGAATACGCATTTGTCTGGAAGAATCCAGCACAAAGCCGAAAAGAGAGATTTTTTAAAAATCCAAAATTAACTCACAGGAACAGTTACTCTTTTTTTCAAAAGTACACAATTGGCTACATTAAATCTATCGTGTGCTTTTGGCTCAGCAACATTGTATCACACCGCTTTGCAAACTGAAATTACAACACCCTGCATGCTTCACATGAGTTACAGGGTGTTTTTTGTTTGTTTTGTTTTTTGAGGGTTTTTCCCTTGGTTGATTTCTTTAGCAAAGCAAACAAAAAGTTTCAAGAAATATTCATCTCATACACAATGAGAAGAAAATGGAATGGCTACCTAACAATATATAACACTGTAGGTACAAAAGGTCGGGTTTTTAGGCTTTCTGCAGTGGATTCTAAGATAGCAACTACCATAAGCAGTTGGGCCTTTTTGATGGGAGTTGCCATTTGTGAAAAAAGAAATTTAACACATTTCTGAGGATATTCACAATCTGTTAGAATGAAAAACTTCATGAAGGAGTGGAAATTCATCAAATAAGCATTCTCTTTAAAAATAATATTGACATGATTTGAGGAAATATAAAAAAATTAATCCTCAAAACCCTTTAGTTTGTAAATGTCTTATGTAGCACACACACACACACACACACACACACACACACACACACACACACACAGAATTAACATTTGCATTTTGACAAAGCAATCCAGATGACTGAGGCAAAAACATCCTTATTGCCTCATTGCCTACTGAAGAGATGTCTCGGTGAACTGAGTCATGTTTTAGAATTATATCTACATGTAATTATGCACATGTTCATTTATCTTTTCCATATAATACAGAGCTGTTTTATAAAGGTTTACACTTGAATCTAGGTCAAAGAAACTGAAGTTTGTGTAAGAAGGTAATCTGTAGAATATAGTAAATATATATATTTAAAGTAGTGACCAGAATTTTATCTGCCTCTACCTGAAAACCTAAACAGGCTAATAATCCTATTTAAATGCTGGTTTTTTAAAAAAATGCGGGATAACTGAAAGAAATTTCTGGAGAAAGGGCTGCTTCATAAATTTAACTTTTTCTCCCTCATACAGTGTGGAAATGAATCCAGATCCTCACGCCTATTTGGAAAGTGCTCTCCAACAGAGCTCTACCCCATCTTTTCCCTACTCTTTTTTCCCAAATCTAAGGCCAAGAACACACAAAAAAAGGTCTTTAAATCCACTGTATACAGTTCCTAAAGTAATAATTCTATCAGTGTATTTCTTGCCAGATATCTGTGTAGGTCATGTTTCTGAAGGTGTTTGTTGTGTACTCAAATTCAGTCATTTCAACAGACATTATTAATTTGGTCAATTTCCTTTAAAGTGATGAGACTTCTAAGTTTGAGAATCCAGACAATGAGAGAGCTATATCCCCAGCTCACCTGCCTGCTTTTCTTTCAACTAACTTTGAGACAGATCTTGCTAAATTACCCAGGCTGGCCTCAAATCCCCAGTAGACAGGATTACAAGCATGCTCCATAGAGCCTGGTCAGCCTCACTTTTACAACTGCATGTAAAATGACTTGGGACTTCATTTAATATGCTACATAAATTAACAAAGAGGTTTTTAAAAATGTCTCCTTTCTCATATTAGGTCCCCAATTATTCATTAGAAAATGCCAGTCAATGGAACCTGAATTTTATGAACTAAATGCACTATAACCAACAAGGGCCCAAAAGTGAAGCCCTCCAAGTCTACTTTAATCTTTCTCTATATTTCAACAGATTTTTACTTAACAAAATAATCCATTTTAACTAGACCATGTTTGGCAATGATTTTAATTTGTGAATGAAAGCAATAATACATCTTTTAAGTTCAACTTTGTATTTTACAAAGTTATTTTCATTTTATTTTTAATGTTACTAGACTCACTTGACTATTAGAATTATGTGAAAGCACAGCTAAAAGGGACCTCTTCTTGGTTTTGTATTAACTAATTACTTATTAGAAATTTGATTATTTGAAAAGTATTCTGCTTATTTAAGTACACTACACAAATTCCTATCTTTTTTAAAGCTATATCTAAGATAAATGGAGATATATCTCCTCCAAGGTACCTTTCTGCTACTTTCTTAAAGGATATGATAGTAAAACAAAATTCTACCCAGAACATTATTTTTTATTTTTTAATTTCTTTATTTTTAAAATTTTTTTAATGTATTTAGTACAGGGTCTACAGGGTCTCGCTACACAGATCAGGACTTGTAGTGATTCTCCTGTTTTCAGCCTCCTAAGTGCTAGGATTACAGGTGTATGACACCACACCCTGTCTGTCTCAGTGTGCCCCAGGGGCGGGGCCAGCACTGCCACAGGAGATCGAATTCCAGTCCTTGTGTCTGCCTAAGCAAGCACTTTAATCCACTGAGCTATCTACCTGGCCCTATTTCTTGATTTTTTTCAGTCAGGGTCTCACTATGTAGTTTAAACTGACCTGCACACTCTGTGTAGCTCAGGCTGACCTTAAACTCTCAGTGTCTCAGTCTCCCAAGTGCTAGGATTACAGGCATGTGACACCAGACCCAGCAGAATAGTATTTTTTTAAAACAATTATCTTCACTGTAATAAGTACGTAAAAGCAAGCATAAAGCTGGACACAATTCCTGACCACAGCACTCTTTTTCCCCTCTGTAGGCACTGGAGGTTCACAATGCAATGATTTCTCTCAGCCTGCAGATTTCAGCATCTTGCGTTCCAGTGCTGTCTGTCTTGCTTCTAGCACCTGCCAACACTAACTCTTACAACAGCTATCTCTTCAGGGAGGGCAATAAGCTGATTCAACAACTGTAAAAAGAAACAAAATATAAAAAGGGCTTTGATAATGTCAGTGAAGACAAACTCCTGTTTACAAAGATTTCATAACAAAATAGGTTAATATTAAAATGCCACTAGTTAAACATAAATAAAAAAGTTTTAATTTCTTCAAAAAAAAAAAATGCCACTAGTAGAAGCTCTTTAATGCAACAGACTTCCAGATTTTAAATTTATATAGTACTTAACATATCAGAAATGAATTCTTTTTTTTTTTTTTTTTTTTGTATTTTAGGGAAGGGTCTCACTATTAGATCAGACTTGTAGTAATCCGCCTGTTTATAGCCTCCCAAGAGCTGGGATTACTGGGGCATGCCACCATGCCCAGTCTCAAATGTCTTAGCGTGCCCCTTGCCCCAGGGGTGGGGCCAGCCCAGCAGGCAGAAATGAATTCAAATTCAAAGAAAAACTCAAATTTGTAGTTTTACTAAATTAAGAACCAAAGCTAGGCACAGTAACACTGTGCCTATAATCCAAGTACTCTAGGATACTAAAGCAGAAAGATCACAAATGCAAGCCCAGTCCAGGCAAATTAGTGAAACCCTATCTCAAAAAAACAAAACAAAAAAACCAAACAAACAAAAAGGGCATGTGCATTAGTATGTGTGAAAAGCACTGGGAATATAGTTCAGAGAGAAAGTTCCAGGGAGTTCAATCCTCAATACTGAACTTCGTATGAGAACAGAAACAATTATGATCAATTATCTTCTCTGGAAGGTTGGTAGTTTCTCTAAAAGAAACAGCAAAGTTGCAATAGTTTATTTGCCAAAAATTAAGAATGCCCTGTGTAGTTAGCTTATTGACATATTTCTGTTAAAAAGTTTGGGAAGCGGGGGAGATGGCTCAGTAGAATAAGCACTTGCTTGGCAAGCGCAAGGGTCTGAGTTCAATCTCTGGTTCTGCCAAAAAAAAAAAAAAAAAAAAAAGTTTGGGAAGCAAATACTGTTTACTTTTCATAAAGAGAAAACAGCAGTGATACACAAATTATGAGCACTATATATTTATAAAGTAGAAGTAATGTCAAAAAGGGAAGGCATAAATTTGTTGAAGTACTTCAGATTTGTATTTTAAAATGTTTTACTGGAAAGCAACTTTTCAACTATGTGTGGTGGCACAGGCCTACGACCCTAGCACTTAGGAATTTTACAACCAACAACTGAAAAGGAATGTTGCCAAAGTCTTCTATTGCTCACTTATGTCTAGTAATATAAAGAAAAAAACAAAACAAACAAACAAAAAACAAACCAGAAACTCTATATGAATAACATTGAAAATACAACCCTGGGGAAGGGTTGTAGCCAGGAGTTCTTGGCTAGCCTGGACTACAAAGTAAGACCCTATCTCAAAAAAATCAAAGTAATAAGAAAGGAATGTTTGAGTACTATACTTAATGTTCCCGAATGTTTAAACTTACAAGGCCATTATATTTAGAGTTGCCAACCTCCTTAATTTAAATGTAAAATCTGACTATAACTCAGGTTTGTGCTGACACTGAAAGTAACTCAAGAAGCTCGACCACTGCTATTTTTTTAAAATATGGAATGCTTCACAAATTTATGTATCATTCTTGCACAGAGGCCATGCTAATTTTCTCTGTATCATTCCAATTTTAGTATATGTGCTGGTGAAGCGAGCACGAAAACATCTTTTCTTTTTTTTTTTTTTTTTGCGGAACCAGGGATTGAACTCAGGCCCTTGAGCTTGCCAGGGAAGCACTTATTCTACTGAGCCATCTCCCTGGCCCTCGACCATTACTATTAACCATCTAGGTGCTTAGTTTTATTTGGCCTGAATAAACAACAGGAAAAACTATTAAAACCACTGTTCCAGATTCTTGCCATGATGTAGGCATAGCATCTACCTTTTTTTTTTTTTTTTTTAAGTGAGGATTGAACTCAGGCCCTTGAGCTTGCCAGGGAAGCGCTTATTCCACTGAGCCATCTCCCCAGCTCACATCTTCCTATTTTGGAACTGAAAATAAAATCAAAGACAGGCCGGGGAGATGGCTCAGTGGAATAAGTGCTTCCCTGGCAAGCACAGCGGTCTGAGTTCAATCCCTGGTTCTGCAAAAACAAAAAAGAAAAAGAAAAAAGAAAAGAAAATCAAAGACCAAGTAATTTGATGATAGTGCAGTATATCAGAAATGAGTTCCCAAAAAGCATTAGCACCCCATTTTCTCTTTTCTTTCTTTTGTGGAACCAGGACTTGAACTCAGACCCTTTCACTTGCCAGGGAAGCACTTATACTACTGAGCCATCTCCCTGGCCCCCATCTTCTTTTCAATATTACCAAGTTAAAATGACACAATATTCTGTTGGCCCATATGCCATCTGTAGAGAAAAATACTGATCCTTTGTAGAGAAACAAGCAGTAATGGCCAAATAGCTGAAGAGCCAGCCAAATAGCTCAGCAGATTAAAGCATCTGCAAGCAGGCTCAGGGGCCGGGAGTTCAATCCCAGGGCCCACTGAGCCGGCCCCACACCCAGGACACATTGAGATGGCAACTGAGACTGGGCGTGGTGGTGCAGGCCTGTAATCCCAGCTCTTGGGAGGCTGTAAACAGGTGGATCACTATGAGTCTGATCTCGTAGTGAGACCCTGAACACCCTGCAGACCTTTCCCTAATATATACACACATACAAAAAAAAAAAAAACTTTAAAAAATAAATAAAAGAAAAAACAAGCATGCATTACGGTTAATATGAACATTATTTTTTTTTTTTTTTCTGGCTGGCTCAGAATGCCTTCAGGGCAGGTTTGGCTGGCTTGAGTTCTGGGGGATCGAACCACAGCAACCTAAGCCTGACTGCTTTGTTGAAGCAGCCACTTAAAGAACTGAGCTAAGAGGCAGGCCCCCAATATGATTACCAGGCTTTCCGTAAGCTGCTATCTAAAAATCTTGTACATGTGCAGATGACATAACTCAAGATTTATAGATGCCCTTCAAATTTCAACTTCTATAAAAGGTATGTTCCAAAACCAACATGAATTTGGCTATATATGTGAAAAAGTTAGAAATCTGATTTTATCATGGGTTAAATGTTTAAAATAAACTGCTGTGAGGTAACAGTTTGGTATAGGATTGATTTGTTCCATGCTCCCCAAAAGTAAGACACAAATCAGCTTCGTTCATAAATGGTGCATCTTACTACTCCTTTTCTATAAAGTCCAGACAGATAGAATCTGTTAAGAAGAAAAACATCCCCTGTACACCTTGCCAGTTGAACACCTCTGTAAACGCAAGTACCATGTTTGCAGAGCTGAGGGTGTCAGCTGTCACCACTGAGTGTGACTCACGTTAGCTGGCCTTATAAATACCTAGCAGGAGACCTAGGGTTCTCACGGGGAGCTGCGAGGAAGAAGACACAAAGGCAGCAGAACTATGCCCAGGTTTGGGTGAAGACGGGTCATCCAAAAGCCAAAGGCAGATCCATGACAGGAAGAAACAGGGTCCAGGACTACATGCTGGAATTCAAAGGCAGTTCTAAACACACTGCATTTAATACCTCTGACTCACTGCAAATATTAACAAAACATCTGGCATGTAGCTAATTGGTGTACCTCTGAAGTCAGACACCAAGACTGTTGAAAGAAGACTACACATTAATAAAAATAGTAACATTAGAACTCATGCAAGTGGGGCCCAACTATATTTTTTAATGTAATTTTACAACCAACAACTGAAAAGGAATGTTGCCAAAGTCTTCTATTGCTGACTTATGTCTAGTAAAGAAAAACAAAACGAACAACAACAACAAAAAAACACACAGAAACTCTATATGAATAACACTGAAAATACAACCCTGGGGAAATTGTGGTTCTTCTTGGTTTAAAATTATTCAATAAAAGTCAGTTTTTCTAGTAAGCTAATTATTTACTAATATTCAAGGTTTTGTTAAATCTGTTTTGTGGATTTTAGACCACAATTATGTGTTCCTATTTTAAATGACTAATAGCTAGTTGTTGGAGAGTCTTAATAAAGCATGTGATGATCATTTTAGACAGGTAAGCAACCACCGTGCAAGGAAAGGGTAGTATCTATCTCAGAAGCCAAATGTTTCACATCAGTTGTACTAAAGCTGTTTGGCTTTTTTGAATATCTATTTCAACCCAGGCATACAAAGTCATGGGTGGGGAGGGGGGCAGACTGCAAAGTCTACTACTTTAGAAAAGAATGTTTCTAAACAGGAATGGTAACTACCTGTAAAATGCTGGTAATGTATAAAAAGAGATCAAAAGTTATTCGCTTAGCCTATATAAGAGCTATACATTAGATTTTCTTTTTCTTTTTTAATTTAGTACAGGGCCTACAGGGTCTCAGCATGTAGATCAGGCTCCCCAAGTGATCCACCTGTGTTCAGCCTCCCGAGAGCTGGGATTACAGAAGCGCACGCCACCACATCCACTCTCAATCAACATCTCAGTGTGCCCCGGGGGCAGGGCCGGCACAGAATCCCAGGGATTGAACCCTGGTCGCTGCATCTAATACGTTAGATTTTCTGACAATTATTTTTTCTTGGCCAGTTTAAAAAGCACCTATGATTCATGGCCTGTATTACAGAATACACTCCAAAGCATAATCAATTTTAAATATTTCCTTGGACTGATGCTCGGAGGACATGGGATTCTCTGACACTTTTACTTTTCAGTAACATAAGAATTTCAATTCATGATTCAAGGTACTGTAAACACAATGGAGGCTATTGATGAAAACTCAAGCATAAAATCCTAACTGTACCAGGTATAACTGGCTTATGCAATGCCACAGATTAAATATTCATGGTTCCTTTCTATGGATACACTGGCAGGGTATGAGTGGAACTGATACCTTTCAACATCAGAAAAGCTTTTCAAAATCCTGTATCAATACCAACTATGAGAAGTATGTTAAAATATTATTAAAGGAACATATTAATTTTGGAAATTATCACAGGCTAACAGAAAAAATTATGTCCAGTAAGTTCTTGCAAAGCTGATCAGGACCATGGGCTTATACAACTTTATACAGAAACACTGTGTTACAGCCTACATACTCATTATAGTTTTCTATTCTTTTTGAATCCAGAGGCAGATCTAGTTACATGTGAAGATACAGTACTTTTCACCCTGAAACCATAGAAGAATACTGGAGTTTCTGAATAGCATTATTTTTTTAATTGTACTACTTTAGGCTGGGCATGGTGGTGTACAACTATAATCCCAGCACTTAGGAGGCTGAGGCAGGAGGATTACTGAGAGTTCAAAGCCAGCCTAGGCTACACTGTGAGACAAGATAGTAAGACACACCCTGACGTAAGCTAAACAAAACTGAGAAGTACTTAAATCCTTTGAACTTTGTGTTCTTCAGAGAAAGTGTTCTACAAATTCATGTTAACTGGGGGAGGGGGGACAATGAAAATAAGTAATTCTCAGACAAAAATTATTTTTTAAATCCTAATTTTAAGATAGTTCCTAATGTCTGATACATGACATTAGGATATAGGGCTTATGATAATGGCATTTAACTATTCAAATTTATATAGAAGTACAGTACTTTGCAGAAGTACAAAGAAATATTATTTAAAAAAATACATTTACATGAACTAATGAAACTGGTATTTAAAAGATTTAATACAAGGAAAAAAGATATTGTATAGTGGTACCAATTCTTAATACAAATTATTAAGCACAGTTTATATAATTTCAAAAGTTATTCACATTATTGCTCGATACCACAGTTGCATGGAACAAGTTCTTGACACACATTAAAACTTGTATAACTGCAGGTTTATAAAAACAAAAATGTACAGAGGTCATTCAGAAATTTTTAAAAGTTTAAAAATTCATGGAGATATGTACAACCAAAAGGAGAAAAAAATATGTATGTGCACATGTATAAGTGTACATATATATTTAAAAGCAATAAGCTAATCTGACTCAAATTCATATGTTACTCTCAAAGAAGTATATATGAACTGACTGAAAGTGAATAGGTGGATAAAAATAGTAATAAATATGTCCTCTATTTCTTAGGAATAATCATTCTAAGTATCAGTGGGATACTGAATACCAGCTTTTTTTTTTTTTTTTGGCGGAACCAGGGATTGAACTCAGATCCTTGTGCTTGCCAGGGAAGCGCTTATTCTACTGAGCCATCTCCCGGGCCCCCAGCTTACTTTTAATGCTAGAATTTTTCTTTCTTTTCAAAATCTTTTAGAAACTTTCATCTACAACTGTGTTAGATTGGGAGAGATATTTTTCTCAGAAATTTTTAAAAGAAGTTACTTCTATACTTCTGTATGTGAGATGTGATGAACAATAAAAATAACCCAAGTAAGGCCATTATTAATATCACCTTGATAAAAAATATACAGATTGTAATGCTACTATATTTTGTGATCCTGAGATCTAGTAACCATTAGATGCATGCATACCATTCACTGATGTATCTAGTCTAAAAAAATAATCCTGCCTTACTACCTTCAAAGGCAGAAATATTTTTTAAATTTTTGATAGATCTTTATGTTAATAGATGTATCTGCTGTAAACGAAGCATTAGGAATTGTATGAGAAGGGGCATGTTGGGTTCCAAAGGCTATTAAAGAAAAATTATTTTAAAATAATTATTAAAGAGAAGAAAAATAATACGAAGAATATGTTTGTTAAGATAGGTAAGTAGAGCTGTATGAAGGTGTTCTTCTATATTAAGGAATTTATAAATAAAGGGCTGTATGTACCTTGGTGATAAAATAAAAAAGGCTGGCCACTTTTTATGCTAAGTTCAAATGTATTTTTTTGAGAATACAAAAAAAGTAATTCTTGAATATCAGAATACATAACAGAAAAGAGCACAATAACTTAAGTATTAAACATCTGTATGAAATAACTTGCAAAGTTTGACAAATATGCACACATAGAACATGCACTTATTTAAAAAACGAAAACACCACATGATTCTGTAGAACCAATGTTATGTCACCACCAGGAGAGCACCAAGCAAGGCACCATTGGAAAGACAACATACTTGGAAAGTCTCTATAAATAAAGGAAATGCTAATCTGGTCGAAAAATCGGTGTCTTTGGTAAAAATTCTATGAGGATGACCTGCAAAAGGAGAAGAAAACAATTTTAAAAATTTAAACAAGTTTTTACCTTAAAACTTCAGTTATACTGTATCATAGCTTTTTCTGAAAATCCATTCATATTTCACAACTACACATTTGCATACCTAAACCAGACCTTTATCTGATAACCCAAAATTTTATCACTGAGAATTTTCTTTTTAAATTTCTGGACTTTTACCAAACACATAAAATTCTCTAGTTCTAGGAAGTAGATGACAGGTAAAACAAAGTTTGAGAAGGTAAAAGAGCTGGACAACACAGGGCACTCATGTATGAGAAAACTAAATGCATACAGGTGTCTCATACTAGAGGAGGCTACTTGATCCTTATAGATAAGTATTATCATCTTCATTTTACTGATAAGAATACTAATGATCTCATTACTTGTAGCCTTACAGATTTCAGAGTCAGTATTTAAATAAATGACTTTCTACCAAAGCCTTGCCAGGAATGAACGCAATACTTCTCTTCACGCTTTGCTCTTGTCAACCCTCTCTCAAGGGAACTAAATTCTACAGAGGCTCTAATTTTGTTCACACCAGGACATATAACAAGACGTACATAAAGATCACTAATCTTATTTTTTTGAAGTCCTTCTTGTATGGGATTAACAAAATTCATTAAACTTCGTTCCAAAGGAACTTTTAACAGGAAACAAAAGTAAATAAAGAATAGTGACACAAAAATACACAAGTTCAGCAAAGCTATTCCAAACTTGATCTGTCCTGAACTACCACTCTTCCCTCTGCTCCAACTCTAGTTTAGAATAAATGCTAGTCAAAGAATTATTTGATAGAAGTGGTGGACGTGGTGGTACATTCCTGTAAGGCCCCACCTCAGGTAGTTGAGGCAGGAAGACATTTTAAAGCCAGCCTAGGCCACATAGTGAGTTCAAATCCTGAGCTATCTAATGAGACTCTATCTTAAACAAAAAATAACAAATGAGCAAACAGTAACAAAAATCATTTGATTTGAACAATTTCCAACTTTGACAAATTTCTCCCCCCTCCCCCCGATAACATTTCTTAACATGACCTCAAGATTTGAACAAATCTAAAAGTTAGCTGTCTAAGCCAGGAACCTTCATTTCTGCTCTTGATTTCTATCATTTTTTTATCTGCTTCGATAAAGTTATCTTAACAAAAATATTTCAGTTCTATTCCAGTCATCTTGTACTAAACCCTATCATTACCTTTACCACTCTCCTCACCTATAATTTGCACATAAGATATGTACTAGCTCCCTGTTAAAAATATTTTCTTCTACATAGTTTCTTCATTTGAGCTAAATTTTCCTGTTTCTCAGGTTCCTTACCTATAAAACAGGAAACTGGATTAGATGACAAGATTCTCTAGACTTCTAAAACATGTTGATTAAATATTTATACTACTTATAAGTTAACATTTCATAAATACTTGTGTTTTTTAAACCTGTCCTCAATCTACTGGTCCTAAGAATTTCAGTCCCTGAGAATGGGTGAGCATCACATTTTACAGTATATTCTACGTAATTTAAAATACAGGCTAAGTTTTTCTATATTTAAATTGTTATTCTTTTTCTTCTTCAGTACTAAAGATTGAACCTAAGATCTCATCATAATAGGCAGGTGCTCTAGCACAGCTACCTCACTTCTTAAAAAAAGACAGAACCTCATTAAATTGCCCACCCAAGCTGGCCTCTAACTTGGAATCCTGCTTTGGCCTCTGGAATAGTTAGGATTATAGACATGTTCTAGTTTTAAGGATCACTCTATAAGCTCTTTTCCTTCACAAGTTATAGTAACTGGCTACACTGCCTTGCTTCTTCTCTATTGTACCTCTCTAGTTTATCTACACAAAGAAAAGTTAGTATCAAGTTAGTATTTTTCTACATTATCTCCAATACTCAAAACATGATCAAGAAGAAAATTATTTTTCTTTAACCAACATGGTATTTCTACAAACTGCAGAACAGTTAAGGGCAAAGCATGATACATGGTAAAAAGGCTTAAATTCAATATATTAGGATTAATCTTCTTACTAGATATATGCTATTTTAACTTTTAAAAATCATTTTTAGGGAATTTATAAAGCTATTACTTCTACTTTCAAGAACCACAAATACACACTGATAAAAATCTAGAAATTTTTGTCATGTCAAAATATTTTTTGTTTTACTTCTGGAGAACTTTTTATGGCGATATGAAAAAAAAAACAATGGCTTTGGAAGTGCTTAATTACATAAAAACTGAAGGTATATTAAAGGAAACTTTTATAAACTAAGCATCTTTGTTTAGAAGGTTATTAAATTATTTTTAGTTAACAAAAGGCCAGAAAAACAGTAAGTATATTTTATTTAAAAAATAGTAAGTATATTTCATGAATGAATGACATTCATATAGCTCTACTTGTAAATCACAGTATCAGGAATAACTTTTCTATTTTTGTAGTAGTTAAGACTGAACCCTGAATCTTGTACATGGTAGGTAAGTCTCTACTGTTTTTCTTCCCAAAGTTTTGAAATTTCCAAAAATAACCAAAACCTCAGTTTTAGGTTTAATGTTTAGGTTAAAATGCTGCAAATGATTTTTCAAAAGAACCTTTAAATTTATTTATCCTTCCCTCCAAAATACATACATAAGCCCTCCACCATCAAAATATAAGACTGATATTTTCAGTTTCACATATTTCAACGTTTTTCTGAAAACATGTTACTTGAATGTGCTTTTTAAAAAATTATGAAAAAAAATAATTATGAAGCATTACTAAGTACATTTCTCATCATCATAAAGTAACTTTCGGTATAATAAAGGTAAGATCTACATTAGTGGGTTCACTCAGTAGTGCTAGTTTATAAGGAAACACTTGAAAAATATATTTTAGGTTCAAAGCTAAAAGTGACATTTAACTGGATAATAATGAAAGAACCAGAAAATGCTAATGGAAAAAAACGATTTTATGATAATTTTCAACTATTTAATCACTTTTCATCAATCTTCTAAACACACATACAATCTATAGTGGTTATACTGTTTCAAAGAATAGACAAAGTACATAAAAAATACAACAGGTACTTCACAAAAGCTGTTTTTAATTTTCAATAATTAACTCTCCTTTAAGTTTTTTAATGTAGCAACCTTTCTGCATTTAAAATACTCAAGTTCAAGGAGAATAAATAAAAATTCATAATTTTCTACAGTATCCTCAACTTCTCAAAAGGTCAATTGTTCAAAGTAAATCAGAGAATCTGTAAATTTAAGTTCTAAAATTGATCGTATATACATGCAAAATTAAATATAAACCCTGACAGCCAGTGTGTCCTCTTCTATTTAAGATAATTTTCACAAAGCCATATTCTAATAATACATTGAAAAATTTTCTAAAGGCCACTAAGGTATACAGGCAGTTAAAGTCTCCGAAGGCTAAAGGTTTCTTAAGCTCCAGTGGCTTGGCTGAAAGGTTTTCTTCCATACTTGGAAACTTGATTAGCATTATATAAAAAAGCCATATCTGACTTGCTGCGTAACCAAAGTTGTGGTTATTCTTTATACAGCATCTAAAATTTCACACTCCATCAACACATGTTCAGCCTATTTTATCTTGGCAATTAATTTATTATTTTTCAGAAAACAGTGAAGCCTTGTTTTCAAGTCATTCATAACTTTATAAATCAGTCTTGCACATGAAACCCATGCATCTGTGAACCGTAGAAAATCCTTGCACTCAGGAGATTAAGCTCCTGACACCTTTGCTGATTAATAATCATGGAAAGAATAAGATCAGAAGCAAAATAAATGATCATTTAATAGAGAAACTCACAAAACAGCCCTTTAACTTACATATTCCATCATGTTATTCGTTTCACATTTCCTTTTGCTCAGTCTCCAGTGCAAGCACAGCTAGACAAGTAGGAGAGTAAAAGAAGAAAAATGAGCTCTATTTCACTGCAGCACACAGACTAACCCATTTGTCCACCTTTCATATTTTTACTTCAACAAAAGCATCTGTTTCCATACTGTGCAATTCAGACCCCAACAGTACGAAGCTGCTCCCTGTGGTACTCACCTTGTGGTATAACCTATTGTTTTCCCATTCTAATAACTTCTCAATCGATCTTCGTGTCTGGAAGACAAATGAGGAAAAAGTTTACTCTTGACTGGTTTTAGAAAAACTGTTTTGCAGCTGCTTGTTGTGTGAAAGGGGAGAAGCATAAGACAGTGACTAAGTATAGGGTGGTCTGTATGCTTCAACGTTCTAGCACTAAATGGTAACCTGAACGGAAACAGTACTCTTTTTAAACGAATAGGCTTTGTTTTTAAACATATGCATCTTTTCAAAATTGTTTCAAACTTATGACGTCTGATTTAAGACTATTAAAGTAATTTATTAATGATTAATGGCACTTTTCAAATGATATAAATTAAAATCCTTATTTTTGAAATATATATTTGCAATGTTTAGTAATGAAAATTCCTTCAAATATACTGTATTTTAAAACAAAACGTACCTTAAATATTAGTTTAAAAATGCTAATTCCTTTTAGAGTAAATCCAGAAATGAAAGCTAATTAAAAGTTCAAAAATCAAAATAATTTTAAGGCTTAAATAGTGCCCATATTGAAAAACCAGTTTATTAGATTCCAGATAGATTTCCTAAATAGCCAAAATTTTATTTAAATTAACACAAAAAGTAACATCTGATAGAAAAAAACAAATTCTTAATCCAATAGTACTATCTTAGGAATCAACTGAGAAATTTGCTTCTCTTGATTACTGCAATATGTACTATACAGCATGAAATGTTTCTTGCTTGGAAGGATAAATAAAGGAGGGGATAATTCACGGTGCCAGGTGTTGGGATGAGATGGATACAGCTGCAGGTGCAGAACTGACAGTGCTGCCACAGGATCAACTGCAACTTGGTGCAGCTGCAGCTCTCTTGAGAGGGCGCAAAGCATCTACTGCTATTAATTTGGTACAACTGTAAGTATTAATCAAATATGAAAATTTATATGCCAATCGAGGAGCTACATAAAAATTGTTAGGATCAAGCTGGTTTTGAGGCCTAAAAGTTACATAATAAGATATTAATGTTTCTTTAGAGTATCACTGTAATGCAGTTCCAATATTATCTTTCAGCATGTTGAACATATTAAAGACACACCAAAGGCACCTAGGTACCAATTATAATTCACAGCTATCAATGAATTACCACTACTGCTTTAATTTCCCAAACTTATACCACAAAAATGAGAAAATCAACTACCTCTCAGGGTAATAACACACCAATGACTAATTTATTACATTACTATTTCTGAACAGTCTTTTTGGCAAGAATTTTAAAGAAAAAAGTGCCCTTGTTAACAATGATCAGCAGACCTCACTTGTTTCTTTGTAAAGATAGCCTTTTAGAGGCAGCTCTCCTTTTAAATGAAAATAGGGCAGCAGTTATGGTCACACTTTTTGTTAATTTAGTTGCCAGTCAGCCCCAAATCAAAAGAAAATAAGGCTGCAGAGTGTAATTAACATTCAGTTCAGTCGTTTTTGTCCCTTGTCTAGCCCCCAAGCTTTGTTAAAATTGCCATCTGAATGCTGAAGGCTGTAGGGAAATCGATTTGATTCTAATCGCACCATGAAAAGAACATGATCTAACTGCTTTCAGCCCTCCGTAAATCTGTACTAGGTCTTTAGCACAATGCAACTTCCAATTTAAAAAGCACTGAATGTCTCGTCAATGACTTTGTGAAGAAAAAAGAACAAGGAGCAGACATAAAAATTCCAATAGTTGTTTAAGCATTAAAGTTCATTTGCATCACAGCGAACCTGAAAAGGGCTGACCTCTCAAACCGCCTCTCAGGTCTATGAAGTTGTAGCCTTGACAAGCTCACATTGACAGAGCTCATTGACTCTGAAAGGCTACTCTATCAATGGTGAAAAATGGCAATAGGTTCTACTATGAGCAGGCATCTGCCTGCCCACCCGCTGCTAAACCAATGGTAAAACCGATTCAAAACCTGAATCTACCTTGTAATCTTCCTTTCTAGGGCCTTTTAATAATAGATTAAGATTACTATACAATTTGAGGTTTTACTTTTACTGATAGTTTAAAAGAGGTAAGGAGGGATGAAAGAACTAGGGTGGGGAGAGCAAGCTTTCTAAGTTCATTGTTTCACATTATATAAAAATAAGACCCAAAAGCTTAATGCTATATTTTACAAATATTTATTACTGCAGGAAAAGAATGTTGCCACCATCATTCCATCAGAAATTTAAACCCATAATATATTTTAATGAGAATGGATCTCGGTATGATACATATGAGCACAAATATATATGCAATCAATTTAAAAGTATTTAACTAACTTCAATCAATACCAGTACTTGAATAAAAGACAATTATGAAGTATGAGTCTAAATTTCAAAATGCTTATGTAGGAATTCTGAGTATATTCTTTGCCCCTAAGAGTTTAATGATAGGCTTTTCTATAATACTTGTATCAAATATTTAAGAACTTTATACCAAACAAACTCTGCTGTACCATTTTTTACATAGCACCTAAATATACAATACTTCTACAAACTTGAGAAAGTATATAAAAGCTGTGAATGAGTATCATCTAATTCTTCCTATCAGACTTCTTTCCTGCTTGATAGGTGAAAAAAAAAAAAAAAAACAACTTGCATGTGCAGCTTAATTAATCACTGCACTTGACATCTCAATGATTTACAGTGGAGAGCAGGTGAGAACACACAAAACCAAAGAGGAACCCTTGATCTGAGTGGAACATATCTAGCACACTAAGGCGAAAAGCATAGATTCTAGCAGTGATAAAAAAAAAAAAAAAAACCCACTGTGCCACAAATTATTTGTTAGTAACAACAAAAACTCAATTTAGAGAGTTTTAACTTCTAAGAATGTTTAATACGCTGTAATTATTTTTAGTTAACAAAATCAAAATATATTTTCAAGATTAAATATAATACCAATTTGGCAAATAGTAAAAAACATGACATTCTTACATTTATAAAAGCCATTTCAAAGCTTTTAAACCTCAATAAAAAGAAAGCACATTATAATTCCAGTCATCAAGAAATAAAGTTAAGAATTTGTGTCCAAAGAGCTGTCAAAGAACTATTTCTGAAGAAATGTAAGACTCAACACCACCAATCTGTAAAAGTCACTTACCAGACAAGCAAACTTATCCATATAAAACCTGTCTTTGAATTTTACATACATATATTGACCTCTAAACTCAACGTAAGTTAAAGAAATTAATATCCATTGGAAAAATGATGGATATTTTGGGCCACATCATTTTAAGCTCTGTCAAAATGAAATATCAACAAAATATTGTTGGTATTACAATATGACATCTTGTTGGTTATTACAAATATGACATCTTAATTTTCTTGAAAGAATTTAGTCCTTGTGAAAAACATCAGATTGATAGTCATGGGAACTAAAAACTTTCTATTAAACTGAAAGAGCAGGGGAAAGGGCAGTGCCGGCTTCAGTACAAGATTCCCTCCAGCGGGCCTTAATCCTTTTCAGAGCTGACACCCCAGGGGTGAGAGGACAGGTTAGTGGTTCTTTACCAATCAATCCTCAGTCTTTATTTGCCTAAGATGATCAGCAAGAAATCTAATTTCATCACAGGTTCTTAATTCAAGAGACCAAGACCACCAACTTATCCTAAGTAAGCAAAACAACTTCCCATGAGCTTGAAGTCAGTCACCACCAACCTGGTCAGGGAGGGGACAGCTCCAAGCATCTGCATGCCCACCCATCTCCCTCAGCAGAAATGACTTCATAAAAAAGCAGCAACAACAAAATTTCAACACACTGGTCGTTATGTATTTTTCACTGGTGAACTAAGTCTAACACAGTAATTCAGCTATCGTATAGTGAAAAAGTAACAATTCAAAAACAATTTCAGCTACTAAAATAGCCATTAAATAGATTCTGAGTTCTTTTGGTCCCTCTGAAATTTTTGTATAAATGTGGAAATAAGCTAAACATGAAAATTACAACAAAGTAAAAAGATCTAAAAGATTTACAAAATGAATAGGTAATTAACAGTTAGATATGTCATCACCTATGATTTCTAAGAAAGAATTACAACAGAATCATATGAAATATGCACATAAAAATGAATTACTTAGATTAAGATTTCCCCAAAATTCAAATTTCCCTTATTATAAAGACAAGGAACCACTTAGAAAATCCTGAATGTATGCGGTAATACTGTGTTATCATAATACTTAATAGGATATATTCATTACCAATGATTATTTATAATCAACTGCTTGAAAATCAATGTGAAACCTTTATAATCATTCTGAACAGTTCAGCTATTTAAACTTACTATTAAAGTTTATTTGAATTTATTCATAACATCACAATATCAAAGCAGTATTTCTAATGTTTAATTTCTTACTTAAAACAAATGTGAAGGGCCAGTAAGATAGCTCAGAGGACTAAGCGCCTGCATAGTCAAGCACAGGGACCGGGTCCAGCCATGGTGGTGCCCGCCTGTAATCCCAGTGCTGGGGAGGCTGAAAACAGGAGATCACTATGAGTACGAGCTGCATAGTAAGACCCTGTACCAAATACATTAAAAAAAAAGAAAGAAATTGGATTTTAAACTCCTAAATTAATAATACATTAATAATTAAGCTTACGTAAAAGAATGCTTTGATATAATTAACTGTTAAATGTTTTTTCAAATAAGAATGAATATCTTGAGACATGTACAAATGGAAATTCTTAAAATAAGTGAAACAAAATTTTAGTTACAAGTCATTAGAAGAAAATCTTATATATTTTAGAATTTTTTTTTAATTTAGGCCTAATTCACTTGTTTTGGTTTCATATTATATCTTATAATCCCATGATGTACACCAAGTTAAACAGTACAGAGTATTTCAAAATTAACAGATAAACTGGATTTACCCACAAAATAAACAGAAACATACATTTATCTTCAAAAGGATTTTTAACCAAATTCCCTTCTTGTATATAGGAAAATATGCTCCAGGCCACTATGAGTTACAACATAGTGAGTTCAAGGCCAGCATGAGCTACACAAGGAGACTCTACCTCAAAACAAACATAAACCATTA